GGGGGGTGATTTCTCGCTTTCTATCTCTCTATCTCTGTCTGTCTGGCGAGCACACATGCCCTATAGCAAAAACCTCTCCCCCCCCAAAAAAAAAAAAAAGAAAAAGAAAAAGAAAGACTGAGAGAGACAGAAAATGAGAAATCACCCCCCAGGGGGGATGGCCACGCTGCAATCCCTTCTCCTCCATTCTCCTATCGGGATCTTGGGCATGTATGCACATGCACCTGGTGTGAGTTTAAGCCACCAGGTCTGGGACTCAAACTGCAGTCGACTACGTGGGAGTCCAGCGACATAGCCATTACGCCAACTGCTGGTCCCACCAAGGGCTTTCATGTGAGGAGTCATAGGGGCAGGCCAGGTACATGAGCACCCAGTGACAGGGCAGGGTGAAGCAGGAGAGGGCAGAAATGCAACCTCAGCAGCAACTGTGCTTCCTCACACCAGCCTTGATGGGAATTCCAATGCTTCCTCATGTCTGGCCCAAATTCCTCTTTCAGCACTCTCATGAGAGACTCCTCCCCCGGAAGCCTCTTCGGGCTATATCGAAAGCACCCTCTCCTTCAGGCCTTGCTTTGACCCCACCCCAGATAAAGCTGCCTGACCTCACCCTACTTCAGGACTTAGTGAAATCCCAAGGGCCAGACTGGAAATGACTGCTTCCCAGTGCACTTGTGGGGCATGGGAGAAGGGGGTGGCCAATGAGAAGGAGTCTCTGCCAGCCCCACAGGTCAGACATTCCAGCAGGGCGAGGGCTGGAGGAGGGCCTGGCTTAGAAGGACCAGATGCTGGGATGTGAGCCCAGAAGGGTGTAGGTTGGCGCCTCCCCGTTAACATTTAAAGAGCCACTGACACACCTTAACAGGGCTGTGGCCAGAGGCCAAAGGACAGGCAGAGGTGACTGTGTCCCATGTCCCACTGACTTCTACCTACCACACTTCTCCTACAGCACCTCTGCCACCCTGCCTCATTCACAGGCTCAATGGCGTGTCACCAAGCCCTACATTCAAGTCTCCAGTTCCCAGCCTGGCCTTGTCACCAACTCTGGACCTTACTGGCAGTTCCCTAAATGAGACCTGAACGTTCTTGCTGCCACATTTTTGCTTGTGCAGGTCCCTCCACTTGAGACCCACTCGCTCCACTTGAGACACACCCTAAGAAAACCTGTCCATCTTCCTAACTTAGCTCACACAGCTGCTTCTTTGTCCAGAAAGCTTTTCTCTCCTCTCTACAAAGTAAGGAGCCATGGGTACTGAAGGCTGCAGGGGCCTGACAGAGCTGCCCGTGCTGTGGCACATAGGCAGTACGATCCAGTGGGGGACACCCAGTTTGAAGCCCATGCCTGGACTTCAGTGACTGTGAGTCCTAGAGCAAACCCCTGCTCTCTAGACCATCTCCCCTTCTGCATGGTGACATGACACTCGGGGACACTAAGCTGAGACCTGCAAGGACTGGTACGGGAACACAGGCCCCCAGCAAGGTCTCCTGCCTTCAATCTCTCATAAGAAAAGAGGAAACTGGGGGGCCAGCAGGTGGCATAGTGGTTGAGGCACTGACTCCCATGTGGCTGACTGTGGTTCAAGTCCCCAGCCTTGTGGCTTAAATTCACGCTAGGCACATGTGCACACACACCCAAAATTCTGAGAGGAGAATGGAGAAGTGATTGTGGCATGGCTGTCCCTTCTTCCCTTCTGGGGGTGATTTCTTACTCTCTGTCTCTTCAGCGAGTGCACACATCTTTTTTTTTTTTTCTGAGAGGTTTTTGCTATAGGGTGTGTTCGTTTACCAGAAAGACAGAGAGAGAGACAGAGAGACAGAAAGCGAGAAATCATGCCCCAGGGGGATGACCACGCCGCCATCCCTTCTCCTCTACTCTCCTCTCGGGATTTTGGGCACGCACACATTCATGCCCAGATTGAGTTTAAGCTACTGGGTCCGGGACTCAAACCACAGTTGGCTACATGGGAGTTCAGTGACATAGCCATTATGCCAACCCAACTGCTGGTCACAAATGCACACGTCTTATAACAACAACAAAAAAATCTCAAAAAAATAAAAGAGGAAACCAGTCTCTAACCTCTGGTTAAAGATCCAAAGTCAAAGAATCTTGGGGTTGGGAGGCCCTGGAAAACCCCTCTCAAGTACAATAACCCTGCCCCAGCTTAGGGGGCCAATGGCTGCTAGCTGACCTCAGGGTCACTAGCAAGGAAAGAAATGTCCAAATCCACTCGACAGTCACAGTATGGAGTGCTGATAACATAGAGCCTCTTGGGACTTCCTGCTACAGACCACAGTTCCCTAACTGGGTGCCAAGCATTAACACCACTAGCAGGGGCCGGTAGGTGGCATGGTGGTTAAGGGCGCTGGACCCCCACATGGCTGACCGCAGTTCAGGTCTTGTACCTGGCGTTTTGCTTTCTCACTTTTCCCTCTCTCTCTCTTACTCACTCTGTCCCTCTTTGGTCAAATTAAAATGAATGAATAAATAAAGTTAAATAAAATAATTCTTTAAAAAAAAAACAAACATTAGCAAATGTCCCAGGCTGGCAACAGGTTCTGGGGCCCAGCCCCAGTTGCTGCTGTGGGTCTATAGACCTTAACCCAAATATAATGTATCTCCTGACTCAAATAGAATGCATTTCCTGACTGGGCGCTCACTACCACACTGTAGTCACAAAGTGCCTCCTTGGGACCAGTAAATGGCTTCATGGTTACCTCTCTGGACTCCCACATAGCTGACTGTGGTTCGAGTCCCAGATCCTGCAGCCTAAAACTTACACCGGCACCTGTGGGTATGTACCCAAAATCCTAAGAGGAGAATGGAGAAGGGATTGATGGCGACTATCCCCCACTGGAGGGGGTGTGATTTCTTGCTTCCTGTCTCTCTGTCTCTCTGGCAAAGGCACAGGCCCTAAAGCAAAAATCTCTCTCAAAACAAAACAGAAAATGCCTCCTGGTGGGGCCAGCAGGTGGCATGTTGGATAAGGGCACTGGATTCCCACATGGCCCACTGCAGTTCGAGTAGGGAACCTGGCAGCTTGTTTTCTCGCTTTCCCTTTCTCTCTTTCTCTGTCTCTCTCTGGTCAAATTGAAAAATAATACCAACAAATGGAATAAAATAATTCTTAAAAAAAAAAAAAGTACCTCCTGGTAAGCAGCAGAATACCCGCCCTCACATCAGTTCTGTCCTTGGGGCCCCTCAGACCCATCCCTTCTCTGCCCATTTCCCACGACCCTGTGCTGGAAAGCTGGTCACTCACTGCAGGCGAGGCTCCCGCAGCAGGGGCAGCTCCGGTGCCCGCAGGTCCCGCGGCTCCCGATTCCGGGTCGTCCACCGAGAAGGAATTGCTGTTCCGCAGCCGAGAGCGCCTCTTCTTCAGCAGATCAGCATCGCGCACGTGGGAGAAGGAACCGTGCGCGCGGGGTGGCGGCACCGGCCCGGCCTCCCCGTTGACCGAGGACCGTCGCAGCCTCACACCACACCCGCTGCCCGGTGGCCCCGCCCCGTCCAACTGCCCCTCGTTTGGGAGCACCGGTACCCGGGCTCCCGGGCCCTGGGTCGGGGCCTCCGCGGAGCGCGCTTCCCGAGCGACCTCCGTCCGGTCCTTGGAGGCGCGAGTAGCATCCTCGTCCCTGGAGGCCGCCTCCGGGGCTGTCCGGTCGGCACAGCTCGCGGCCTCCTTGGGCGCCTCGGCCCCGTGCTCGCGCAGACGCTGCGCCAGGTCACCAGCGTCCAGGTGATCCGATGGGTTCTGCTGGGCGCTGCCCACGCGGTACGTGCCGGCGCCGCCGCCGCCCTCTAGCTGCACCAGCTGCAGCTCCTGCCCGGTGCAGAAGGCGCGGATCTGGCACAGGTACGTCATGACGATGAGCTTATCGGGCACCGACAGCAGCACCATGTCCGCAGGCTCCAGCAGCCGCGACACGCCCAAGGCCGCGAAGCCATCGAAGGCCTAGGAAGGGTGCGCTCGGAGTCAGCGGCGGCAGCAGTCCCGGTTACCCACGCTGTGCCCCACCAGGCCCACGAGTTAAAGGGTTCCCAGGACTTGCACTCTAAGGTTTGCCTAGCAACGCCTGCCTTCACCCTCCGGTAGAGGGAAATACAGCAAAGGCCCGCCCTCCCGTTACCTAGCAACAACACGCACACCTTTCCCCCTTACCAAAGGGTGGTTTTGGAAAAACCATCTAGGGGAAATATGTTTTAAAAGAAAACAAAAACAAAACTAAGAAAAACAAACAATTTAATGACCAAAGGGTAACAGGAGTTAGAATTTCCAAAAGCCACTGCTGGGGTCCTGCTGTGGAGTCCAGGACCTGCAATCTGGCTCCAAACC